TCTCTCTCTCTCGCTCGCGCTCGCTCATACATACACACTTATGCTCCCATGATTTTGCATTCCAGGAGTTGGGTGTCGGTTGAGGATTTCGAGTGTCTGTTGCTCGGGATTCTGCTTATCCCAAAATCCGAGCACCCGGCAGTCAGCAGTATGATCCAGGTGTTGTTATCAATGTTGTTGTTATACTGGTACGGTATATAAATTGGACACTGCCCCCACTCAGTAGAAGTTGAGTAGTATTCGTAATATGGGTATATAAGGCCCTTAGTAGTAGCCCTACTATAGACTGTTACTGTATGGGGGGCAGTACCCAAATATTGCTTGAATCTTGTTACTACGGTTGATGATATAAATCTTGCATTACGCATAACAAGGAACATACCCTAATTCCCATATAGTTTAGGGCCATTATCAGGTAGTGCAGGTTTTAGATATCACCAACAGTATTATATCCTAAACCCTAAGCCCTAAACCCTAAAGCCTAAATCAGACATATCCGAACATACCCTGCAATGCGGGCTCGTCCAAGCTACGTGGGAGGGAAAAAACCCAAAACCCTAAACCCTATAAACCCCTAAACCGTAAACCCTGCAAGAAATTTGGGTCAGCCCGGCAGTCAGGGCCAAAGTGGTGCAGCCTGGTCCTCCTCCAGTGCCGCAGCTCTGCCCCTCGCAGCGCAGGCAGCACAGGCGACGCTGTCAGGGAGTTGACTACCCATAGGCCCCTAAGTAGTTCCTTTCTATGGTTTATATTTAGAATCCCTTTAGGTAATCCCAAAAAAGAACTACTTAGGGGCCTATGAGTATTTAAGCAAAAAGAGCCATAAGAACACACTCTAACCGAAGGTCGAATGGGGGAATGAGCTCTAAGCTGAAGCTGCTGTTGGCGTTTATAGTGTAGGAAACTACTCGCGATGCCTTCCGCGATGCAGATCGGAGCTTCCAGCCTAGTGCGGCAGTGCCTAACAGGGCCTGGTGAAGAAAAGCAGACAGCCTTCCATGAGGGTTAGGAAGTGGACTATGACTACCATCATTGCGCAGGGCTGGACGATAAAAGGGGCTTGAATGCTTCGGAATAATGTCCCCTTACAGTTCCAAAATTCTACTGTAACCAACACTCTTGTCGAATTGTTGAGGCTTCTGTGAACCCCCAGGGTTTGGGGGTCTAGAGGTTCAGAGATTTTCCTACAATGTCGAGTCAAACGTGCCGTACGTTCCTGTGTGTTTGAGTGGGTGCGGGCGGGGGTGTGCAGGAGAGCTGTGGGATGAGCAAAGTGGGGTTTCCGTTGTCCTCCATTGCTTGCGCCAGTTAATTACCAGATACCTAACGAAGCAGCCTTGCATCTGGGAGCTTAGGGCTCTCGGGTGATGTTGTTTTTTTTGAGCCTGGAGTCCCCACTGCAAGGCGGCTCAGCTGCATGGCGCTGCAGCTGCCCACGCCGCGGTGGTCTCGGTTTCGTAATGGCTGCTTGCGGGGCTTTCCAGAATGGTGTGTATTAATATTCAGCATCACAATCATGACCATTATCATTATAATCATCACCATCATCATCATCATATAACACACACATAGCCGCAATAGCAACAATTAGTCTTGGTAACGATAGCAATAATCATAACAACAGGAACAACAAATAGAAGTAGAAGAAGTAGTAGTAGTAGTAGTAGAAGTAGTAGAAGTAGAAGTAGAAGTAGAAGTAGAAGTAGAAGTAGAAGTAGAAGTACAAGTAGAAGTAGTAACGCAGGCTAGTAGCTAGGGATTTTTCTGTTGACTTCCATGCTTTCACACTTTCTCGGCTTTGCTTTGTGTCCGGGTTTGTGGCAGAGCTACAGCAGCTTGAACTCTCAGGTGGCTGGATTCTCTACATTCTTGGTTGATCAGTGACACAGAAGCCTCGTTTAGAGAACTACCCATGGTTTGGGCAGGGAGCCCCTGAACTGAAGTGTTCTGTGAGTCTGTTGCAACTGCGACGGCTGTTGGCTTTATGATGCTCGTCGGGCAGCTGGGTTGCCCTTAAAACACAGCTTATACATCCCAAACGTGCAGATAGCCAACTAACTCATCGTCCTCGGGCAGCAGCTATGCAAGCCTACTGTCACGATATTACCATGAACCTCGCCAGCTGCTCATCAGCTGCAGATGCACCTGAACACGGAAGGGCCTCTCCCATCAGTTCGACAGACAGTAGCAGTAGGAGAAGCAACTTTTACCTGGACCTTGAACTGCGGCACCCCTGTTCGGATAGCCAATTTTCCGGTTAGGACGCAGAGAAGCAAGAAGAAGCTGCACTTGACGCTTGAGGGCCAAGGTAGCCCACCGCCAACCCAAGCCTTGCAATTGCAAACCCGGCCCTACAGCTAGCTGAAAGTCTCACTAGACCCGAAACCCAAAGCCATGCGCAAGTAAGCACGTTGAGGAAAGTCTGATCAAATCAGATGCCTACAAGCCCACATAAGCCGTATACTGACACATCTAACTTATAACCCCCCTTTATATTACAGCCCCATGAAAAAAAGTCCCCCAAACACCCTCCCGGTTTCTCACGATGTCGTCCAATGCTGCGCTCGCCGCTTCTCGGGCTTCTCGGCGCCGTTGGCGCGGCCGCCGCAGGTCCCTCGGGCCCTGGTCGAAAATCATTGGGTCTAGCAGGGTTTATACGGATTTTTTTTCGGGTTTAGTAGGGTTCAGTGTTCAGGGTCTAGTAATTTACAAGGGTTGTAGCATGTGCAGGGTGTAGGGTTCGGGCTGGGCAGAGCCTGGGTTCGAAGCAGGGTTCGTTTCATTTCTGGATAAGTCGAACTGTCTTTCTGCATCCTTTGCACCGAGCCCAGTTCCAATATGTTCCAATGGTTTCGGAAAATAGGGGGTGGGCGGGGGGGGGGGGGGGNNGGGGGTGCTTCTGCGACAAGGATCCTACTTGTAGGGTTTTGCAATAAGGCCTTCTTTTTCCTAAAAACCCCTAAGAATTAGCACCGTGTATATTCTGAAGGAGGAGTCGAGTACAACATAATCTTAAGAAAGAGTTCTGGTACAGTAAGTTCCGAACAATGCAATTGAGTATGGTGCTACAGTACACATTCATGAAGGAACAGGTAGAAAACACTGCGCATGTATATATATATATATATGCACACACACACATATATATATATACATACATATGTACACTTATTATATATATATATAATTAATATACATATATATATACATATGTATACATATATATATATATACACACATACATACATAGACGCAGCTTTACAGTCTCATACGCAGAGCAGCCCAGGCTCTGCCATCGGAGCGATTGCGGCTTGGCCGTTGGAGATCTAACTTTCAAAAACGTCTAACCCAAACGGAGAACCCCAAAAAAACCTAGGCCCAAAAAGCATCTGGGGGAACCCAAATTTGGGGTTTTTGGATTTTTTTTGAATAGGAGGGAAAAAGCCCGAATAACAGCGCAAATGGGTTCCCTCAGATACCAAAGGAGATGATGGAGAAAAGCGGTCCCGTAAGAAGAAAAAAAGAGTCACCACCGGAAACCCTAAACCCCAAGCCCTAAAGGTCCTGCGCTTTTCCGAGTCCCAAGGTTCCGGGCTTTCTGGTTGTCGGGCGCAGGGTCGAGGGCTTTGAGGCTTGTAGGGTTTAGGGTTCCCTGAACCCTACGAAAGCCTAACCTTACACCCGAAACCCTAAATCCTAAACCCTAATTCAAGAAAATCTGGTCGTGAAGGTGAACTCTTGAGTCCTTGCGCACTGAGACTGTTCTGCTAACTTACCCCGCAATGCGGGCTCGTCCTTGCTAAGTGGGAGGGAACAAGCCCGAAGTCTTCAGACATGACGTGAGATCATGGAACTCGGGGTTACGCTTCAGGGCTTGAGGTTTTCGTGGTTAGGGCTGGAGGTCTATTGAGGGATGACGGCTTCGTGCCTTTTGCTGTCTGGGGCTTGGGGGTTACAAGAATCAGGGTTTTGGGCTTTGCAGGGTTTCAAGGTCTGGGGTCTCATGTTTAGTTTAGTTTTTTGTCTGAAAGGTTGTTTTTGTTACTCACTGTTCGTCACCGCCGATGTTTCAAGCGTGTGGAGGAAGTGGAGTTTTGTTTCTGAGACTTCGCTGGTTTCAGGGTTCCGATGATTCTGCAGCGGTGCATCGAGCATGCCCAGGGTCTTACTGGCACGGACAGGCACATTGCTTGTGTGTGAGAGAACGAAGCAGAGTTCTGCTTGTTGCTTTATCGGTATACTTACACGATTTCTGTGGTGAACTCGTGTGCTACAAGCGGATATCTGACTCTACGTAAGCCCCTAAGCGCCGAGCACTGTCTATTCAGGTACTGCTCCTCTGGGCGATCTACTGCAGCTACCAATGGTGGCAGGGGCTGGTAGTCTACGTCGCACGGGCCTTATCCAATCGGCAGATACACTTGTCCAGGAAGGTGCTCGGTTCCCGCAGTTGCCTGTTGCGACTTGTTTTTTGTACGTACGTGTAAAAAACCAAGTAACAACATCAAAACCCTCACTCTTCACAATAGACCTTCCTTCTGTTTCAAGCCGACTGCGAAACGATGGGTCTCATCCCGCATGTCCGAGTTCTGAGAGCCTAGGCGTCTGCCCTAAGCCGAGGATGGTGCTCCCGTTCTCGGCACGCCCCGGCAGACACCGCATCTTCCCGCCCATGCACGCAAGCCACCCAAGGACCGACAGCAGGAGCTTGGAGGTCGAGGGGTTTGCAGTCTCGGGTTCATAGCTTGGAGGTAGCCGCAAAAAAAGGGAGATTCCGGCAGCCTTGTTAGTGAGATGCTTACGCTTACGGGGTGTTTTGGGCTACGATTTGATCAACATCCATACATCAACAAACACTTGTTGGACACTTGGAGCTGCGGTTCCACTCCCTACCTGCTTACGTCTTGCAGGAGTGACAGGCTCGTCGAGGATTGACATGGGCACCTGACATCCTACGGAACAGGCAGTCTATAAGCAGAAACTCAGAAGAAGAACTGCTGTGTAAACGGCCCAACGCAAGATACCAGGGTCCTGGCACCCAGCATATGAGCGCAGCACACTACAAAAAGCTCATTCAACATCTGGTTGCCACTTCTTCGGCCTTTGTGTCACACCTCTTTTGGAAGGACCCTTCAACCCAGACGCCCCAGCGACGAGGCCCCCCAGGTTTGGGGGAGAGGAGGTTCGAAGTCGGTTTTGTGTGCAGTTTTAGGGTTTAGGGGTTTAGGGTTCCAGGAGTCTGCCTTTGACCCGAGTTCTCGTGGGTATAGTAGACGAGCTGGAGGTATTCGCGGAAGTTCTGATGTGATTCGATTATGGAGATGTACCGACCTACTTGTAATTGTAAGCAACATGATCATTCCTGGTCCTCGTGGTCGCTCTGATGCGATGATGCCCCATAATTCGGACATCGTCCCCTTCGAATGTCCAAGGAGCCAAGCCTCGCTGAGTCCCCCCTCGCCTCCCCCGGCAATTGTTGATTAGACGGCTCAGGGTTCAAATTTCAGGATTTGGGGTTTAAGGGCTTCGATGCTGAGGTTTTGAGAGTATCAGAAACCCTAAATCCTAAACCCTAAACGCAACAAAAACCCTAAACCCTAAGCCCCAGAGGTTGAGGGTGCGCAACAAATAAGGGTTTTGGTTGCTTTGCTTTGGAGGCCCGGCTGCTGCAATGGCATTGCAAATCCCGGAGTTGTCGAGCTGGAGCTTAGTCGAACCGCCCCCTAAGTCTCGGAAAAGGTTCAAACTCCTAGATAGTATTAGGGAGACCCAATAAAAATGGGACTCTTCTCTTAAAAAGGGACCCTTATTGAGAGGGTCTACATCTCCGGGGTCCCCGCACAGATCCTGAACGGCGGTACCTTGTTCTGGTTAGCTTTTTGGCTCTCCTCTTTCTCTTGTTGAAGGATAGCGAGATGAAACTGGCTATCCAAGAAAGTGTGCTACAGCACAGGTTGTAGACAGCAGGTGGAAAGATCGTTGAGGTCGATATATAACGGCCGTGTTACCGCTTATTCAGGTCTGATTCCCACCCGAACCTGGGGCTTAACGCCCGGTCTGAAAGCCCCGGTTGGTTCGAGCCAGGACGCCGGGAGGAGAAGCGCCCGCTGTCCGAGGGCTTTCGGACCCCTCGTTCTGAGAGTGTGGAGGCTCGGTTAAGGCTAATGCGGCTGATGGTTCACGGTTAAGGGTTCACAAGGGCAAGGTTCAGGGTTTTCGTTTCTGATTGTTGCGTTGCTCTTAATCTCATTGAGTACGACATCGGCGATGCTTCTGTGACTAGCAGTAGCAGTAGTAGCAGTAGTAGGGGCAGTAGGAGTACTAGTCGTCGTAGTCGTGGTCGTGCTGGTGGTGGTAGTAGTAGTAGTAGTAGCAGCAGCAGCAGCAGCAGCAGGAGCCGTGAGCCGCAGCAGTAGCAGTAGTAGATTAGATTAGTTGTTGTTGTGGTGGTGCTGGCAGTGGTGTTAGTGGTCTACACCCCATGTCTCACATGGACACAAATCCGAAGATCAAGCTGGCAGGGGCTGGATCCGATCGTGGAGTGGGCTCCCTTCTCGCCTTCCTTCCCGCTGGGCGAGCCCCCCGAGGATCTGCAAAGCCGCCGCACTGCACTTAGGGTTTAAGGGCCTTAATAATTAGAATAGGGTTTTGAGGGCTCCTGATTATAATGATAGCATAATATACCCCCAAACCCTATTCTAATTATTAAGGCCCCTACATTAGAGTTATAATGCCGGGGCTCCAGATCCGCGGAGGCCGTACGTTAGACGGTAATGCTACTTGTGACATCCGGCATAATCTTGCTCAAAAGCAGGCCATGGGTAAAAGTTCCAAGCATGGCTCAAACACTTGGGGTTCGCTTGACTGGCTAGCAGAACATAGGAGAATCCGACAAGTGGGCGGCATAGGATTGGGTACGTATCATTCAGTACAGCCTTGTGCGAACAAGGCTTGTTTCTATGGGTACCCAGCCCCCCTTTTTCAAAGTGCTGAGGGCTCGGCGCAATCTTCGGAGCCTGCTTGCGCAAAAATCTGTGTTCATTTGTCAGATTTGTATCAAGGCTTTCGAGCGGCATAGTATAGGGGCCCAAATACTTACCAACATTATTGTGGGGTTGCATATTAGAATTAGGGCGTATAATATACCCCAAAACCCTATTCTACTTATTTCGGCCCCTATATAACTCGCCTCTCAGGTTTGGCAGACACACCTTTCGCCCGAATACCCGAGGGCGCCGTTGCCGGGCTCGCAAGCCATCCATCCTGGCTGGGCTTCATGGGTTTCTGATGGTACAGTATATATATATATAGATTGACTAAAAGGGTTGGAGAAGTAGGTCATGAATATATGTATATATACACACATATCTACAAATAGGTCTATACACGCACATACATACACATACAGACAGACAGACATACATACAAATAAATACATACTTGTAAGATAGCATAATACGACACAGTACAGACACTACACATAAATACTATGTTATAATATGGACACACATAGCCTTAATATGCAAATATCTACAAAAACTACTGAATAAACAAACGAATAGATAAATGAACTCCCTCTCTCTCCCTCTATATATACACATGCATGCGTGTAGACGTGCATGCACATATGCATATGTATGTATGTATGTGTATGTATATACATATATATATATATATCTCTCTCTCTCTCTCTCTCTTGCTGGGATTACTGCCCTACTGTGGGTAGCTATCTCTGGGTGGTTAAGGGTTATTGTTTTGAGCTTGGGCTGAATGTCCCGCCTGTTGTATGGCCCACCGTCTTGAGGAGTTGGGGTGGTCGCGAGGCCAAAGCATAGCCTGCCAAGCGGAGTCGTCGGAAACTGCCATGCGGGAGCCAAAAACATTGCAAGGAGGGTGCATCGATGCTCAAATCCATCCGAACAGCAAACAAACCGCAACGCTTCACTAAACTATAAAACTCTAGGGGTGAATGTTTGAGGTTCTGGAGCTGAAAGTTGTTGCAGGGTTAAGGTTTAGGGTTTGGGGGGGGCGTGCTAAACCCCTAAGCAACAGCCCCAAGTCGAAGAATCACAAAGCCCTAATAAGGTTCAACCATACTGGCTCCAATGTGATGCCTGTGTCTTCGATGCCTCCCAACTGCATTGGGCTTTATAGGGTTCAGGTAGGGTTTAGTGAGTGCTCCACCCGGAATGTAGAGAATTGAACACACGGCGGCAGGTTGGTGTGTGCACCCGGTACAGCAACAGAATAGCATCACATCCCGTAGCAGCTGGATGGGACAGAGCTCTAGTCAGCAAGGCAGACGAATTGATGAAAGATCAGACTTGTAATGCCGATGCTCGGGATTGTGAGAATGGTCAGTCAGTAGAGGTCGTGTATCACGGTTGGGTTTTACATTAAAAATTTAAACGGCTCTACAAGGGGATCAGAATATGTTGCATTGCTTTCCCTGCTTATTCGCTGATCGTGCTTGTTCCTTACTGTTGCTGTTTTTGGTAGACTCGTAGACACTACCGTGGTCATCATCGTGAATGTACTGTTTATATCTATCACCATGTCCAGTCTCCCTCTCACCGCCAGTCAACATCATTAGCAACGGCTGTTTCTTCTAATCTACACAAGAATTGCTGACATGGCAGATGCTTTGGCAGGTGCGCAGTGTCGGCTACAAGCAGACGCGTGAGAAGGCGGGGCATCAAGCTCTATGTTCGCTATGTTCTGATGCTCTACACAACCGATAATCTACAGCACACATTCCGGACCGCTGAGCCGCAAGTCCTGCAAACGTGTTGTGCGAATCCCGACTTGCTTGAGGTGGCTTCTCAACCAGCTTTGTACCAGTGCGTCGGGATGGACATTGTGTGTCTCGCCTGTTCACAGAGTGGTGTTTGCCCGAATCGCGGGAGTTTCGGGCTTTTGGTTTGAGGCAGGTTTCACGGTATAGGCCAGCACACATGTCCTCAAGGTCGATTTTCCAAAGCAAGAGCTTTGGCCCCCCCGGACCTAGAGACGTAAACTGGGGTTTTGATTAGGGCCCGCCTAGTTTTTTCTCAGAGTATGCTTTTCCAATATGAACCTCATTTTCTGCATGCGAGCCACTGAACTTCTGAACACAGCTTTATGAGGGACTTCCAATGACTGCAGATGTCGCGACTCAGCGTTCAGGATTTCACTCCGGCGGTGCCCTCGAATGACTACCGCACAGGTTTAACCTGCTAGATTTGGGCTCCGACGCGAAACTTCCGACCTCCGCTGAGAGTTTCAATGTCGATCCTTCCACCGGCTGTGGTTCCCGGTCTTTGGACAGGTCCGAAGGGTAGAGATTGTACCGTTCACTCGGGGGGTTTGGGGTTTTAGCTTGGTTGCAAAGTTTAATGGTCCCTGAGAAGGCGCGACCACAAGAGGATCGACTGCCGCCGGGCATGATTTCGGCATGTTCCTGCCTGGCTTGGCTTTCAGAGTCTCGTTCCGGGAGAAGGTGGGTTCAAAGGCCGCATTTACGAGCGCACACACTTCGCACGCACTGCAACCCGCGGTAGTTGCTTTGGTCTCTTCTTATACGGCCCAGTCAGCAGCTGAAGAGTTTGCGAGCGTTCCGAGGGCCTGCAGTCGTAGCCTTGTTGAATTTGTGTTTGGGTACGCGAGGGCGGGAATGATAAAGTTGCCTGATTAGAGGTTACAATCCTAAATGCCCCAAGCCACATGCAGTAAGCCCTATAGAGCCCTCCGAATGCCTTTGGAGAGGCATCCTCGACCGCTTCTCAGACGCCTTGCCGCCGGATCTGCCTGGCACGGTGGAGTCCGGTGCCCAAGGAATCTGAAGAGCTCCCTCCTTGTCTGTTGAGGGTTTAGGGTTTCGGGAGCCTTGCCTTTATTTTTCAATCTACGTGTATATACACAAACATATGAAGAGAACCACTCAACTCTCGCATCTGTCTCTCTCTCTCTCTATCTCTCTCTCTCTCTCTCTCTCTCGCTCGATTTGCGTGAAGTTTGATAGACAGGCATCACATCTTCAATTCTCCTTTCCGGAACGCATTTGGCCCCAGACATGTGTAATATAAGCCAAACATACATAAAATAAATTACTAGGATCTAGAATGCACAGACGCAGTAGGGCTTCAAACCCCAGCATTCCCCCGTTCCATGTTCGAAGTTCAGGAGTAGGCATAAGTGTTTTGCCGGCTCCTCGGATGCGTTTCTTTTTGGGCTTGGATTGGTTTGCAAGGCCTTACCCCTTCTGGTTCCGTGGGTGAGGACTGAGAGCATATCTCGCAACCACACCATCAAACCTGCCTCACCCCGAGTGAGCTCAACCGCCCTAAAGCTCCAGATTTTCGAAGCAGGTAAGAGCACTCTACACGACACCGGAAACCCCTGAGCCCTAAAGCCGATCAGCCACTGCTGCTTCCGGTACCTAAAACCAACACCGGAGCCTTGCCTCCCTGGTGCGAGTGCGAGAGTCGAAACCCAACACCTTGCAATTCTTCGATTTCACTAAACCCTGCAAGATGTCTATAAGCGCTCCCCTCCCCTAGCTCCTCGCCTGCAGAGAGAGCCAAGGTGGAGCACGGCTTGGGCAGTACCTCGCGTGCTAATCTTCAACTGCCAGGTCCTGCTGACATACCCTATTCTAACGGTTAACCAAGACTCGAAAGATTTGTTTTTTTTTTGTTGTGCCTCTGGCTCGCTCTCACACTTGATGGGGTTGCGGTCAGACATTAGGGCCACTTTGGGGTGTGCTTTTAGCCTCCCAGACTCGACAGGTGGGTTGTGCATTGCGAACCCGAAACCCGAGGACAAACACCCCAAACCCAAACCCTCTCTGTGTAATTACGCTGAGCCGTGGATGCGACCAAAAATGCGAAGGGCAGGCATTTTTTCTGCTGGTCCGCTCCGCAGCATGCCGCCAAGAACTGAAGCAACATCCTAGACCCTAAACCCTAAACCCTAAACCCCTAAACCCCTAAACCCTAGACCCTCGCTTTTGCGCAGGTCCCCTACACAGCCGGCCGCCTTTTTGGGTCCCATCCAGAAGAAGATGGTGGTTTGAGTGCGCCCAGCAAGTCGATTCCTTTCAGATACCCCCTCAAGATCCCGAGCCCTACCCTAGTCCCAGTTGTGAGTGCTGAAATCCCGAACCCTATGAAAAAGTTTGGATGTTTGGCCTTCTCCTGCCTCAAGCTTCAGAGTGGTGCATCTACAACTCTGAAGGGGTGAAGAAGGCCTCGGCCCTGCTACTTTCTGCATCCAAACGGGTTTAGGGTTTAGGGTTTCTTGGTTGCGGGCTTCCGGAGGCATGGTGTTGAAATGCATCGACGAGTGTTCTGCGAAAACACCTTGGCCACATCAAGAGCCTTCAGGGCAGCTATATAGGATCCAGCTGTCCAGCTTTATTGGCTGGATGATGTGGATGAGTGTAGTATGTAAGATTTTGGAATTAAGATTTCTATTCATATTAATTTCTAGTATTTCATGACCAGTCTAAATCCTTCCGAATAGCTGCCTTGGCTTGCAGCAGCTTTTGTCGACACTCGTGCTTCGAAGCAATACCGTCCCACCTTCAGCCATGGCGAGACATCTTACACATACCTTAAAGGAGGTGCTGGTTGATGGCTTGCATGAGTGAGTAAAGGTGCAATTTGTTAGGGTTTAGGGTTTAGGGTTGTGTTTTGCCTTCCCTCTCTGGGAGCCGCGTTGCCCGCGATGGGGCGAGATCGACGAGGCAGCTTTGACGATGCTTTCACACCCTTGGTGCAGCTGCCCAGCGCCTTGCCTGGCACATCAAACCCATACATCAATCACACGTGAATGTAGGGCCATTCTCTCTCTTTCGAACGGACCGTTCAGCGAGATCTGCACAGCCGATGGCAAGTCAGCACGCCTCCGAGCAGTCTTCTTGTGCTTTGCATCGCCTGCAGTGCGCTGGAAGACTCACCGCGCTGCAGCTGCACGCCTCAACCCCAAATCCGAAGCCGCCCTTGACAGTCGTGAGAGAAACCTCCCTATAAGGTGTGGTGAACATGACGGAGGGGACACGCACCGAGAAGGCCTTGAAGCTAGACCTGGCCGTCAGACTCCCGATTTTTCAAGGGTTCCACGAAACCCCTCGAAGGTCCGATGGAGCTTCGCAGTTTTTGTATAAATGGGATTTACAAGGGTGGTTTACCCAGTTGCTTTCGGCACAGCCGTTATCCTGATATGTTTTGCTTGGGGGGTGGTAGATCCGGTCATCGAAGACAACCACAACCTCCCGCATACTGCAGGGTTTGTAGCAGAGCTTCGGCGACAGCAAGCTCCTTAGGAACAATAAACCCTAAACCTCTAAACCCCTAAACCCCTGAACCCCTGAACCCTAAACCCTGAATCCCTAAACCCTGAGCACATTGCAGAAATGCGGCTACTGCTCCAAGGACCCCAAGGCTCCGATCATACGCAGGGCCCCTATGTTCAGCTAAGACAGATACACTTACATGTTTGGGTAGCTTTCTAAACTGGGGTCCCTTTTTTCGGTCCCCAGTATACTACGGCATCCTTGCAACGAGGGCTCGGAAAGGAAAGCCCTAATTGAGGGAGCTGTCCATTACTCCAAAGTGGCCTTCCATAGCTCCTCGGGCTGCTAAACATGGCAGCACATCCTGTGCAGGACCTCCTAGGGACCAAGGAGGTGCCCAAGAGTGCCTACTACGGCAGCTTGGGCCCATGAGTAGGGTTCAGGAACTGGGTTTTAGGAGAAGCTTTGGGCCTATTTATGGTTCAGGAACTGGGTTTTAGGAGAGGCTTTGGGCCCATGTTAGGGTTCAGGAATTGGGTTTAGGACAGGCTTTGGGGTTTGGGTTCAAAGTCAGGGGGAGGAGCTTAACGTTTAAGGGACTGTCTGCTGGGTCTGGTGGCCTCTTCTACTCAAGGATCGAAACCTAGGTCTAGGTTCCAATTCATAAACTATGTATACCAGTGTTTGCATATTGTGAACATTGGGTATAAACTGCACATCTCCAGAAAGTGTTACTTAATATACATGAGCGACAGCATGTGCAAGTAGGTTTGCAGTGGGTAGTTTACAAGTTTCTCGAGGGTGTCTGGTGCATGAGGAAGTGAGAAGTACCTTTCTAATGCTCTATATAGGC